CGCAGCCAACAGGGATGACTGAGCAAAGGCGATTGAGCAGGCCAAGGACTGCCTCTGTTGTGCCAATAATTAATAAATGAGTTAATAAAGATGGAAACTACATAATATAAATAAAACATATGTTTTAATAGTCATATGATTTAATTCAGAGTTTGAAAATTATTTTTTCAATAATTATGGGTTTAGAGTATTATTATTATGATAATCATTCAACAAGCTTTTCAGTATTATTAAATAAACATCTTTGCACATTTTTCAGAGACTAATTAAATGGTAAAATGGGGAAATATAACTTGCAATGGCAAGTTAAGGTCGGAAAAAAACAAACTAAAATAAACATCTGCTTATGAAAAAACCTCGTACTGGTAATCTTATTAATTAGAAAAAAACAATTGATAACGTTTTCCTTAGTTATTTACAGTGCTTCTGAAGAATATTAACATGTCTATATAACTGAAAATATTGCAAACTTATGGAGTAGGAGGAATCTTCATAAAGTCTTTTTCTAAAATGTGTCTGTTGAGGAAGAAAGGCATTTGATTCTCGGTACTAAAACATATTTTTAATCCAAAAAACCTAATGTTCAAGTTCTAGCTAATAATAACAAAACACAAGTTTATATTCTGCATCACGTTGAAATTAGGTGAAGATGAACCCACCAGATGATGAGTTTCTGTAAGAAAAATTGATCAAGTCTTCTTCAAAGTTGAAGAGTATATGTATCAGATAGCAATTAGGAGATTGTAAGGATTCTTTTCGAAAATAACTACCACCTCATAGTTACTTCATCCTCAATACAGCCAATCAAGATCAAAAAATGTTCAACCAGTTTGCTGGAATCTCTGATTGTATTCATGCGGTGCACAACGCCATTGAGATGAGTAACATTTTTATTATTCTTTTCATCTCGACCAGTAGTTTGAACTTTGCTTTCATTGACTGTTGATAACCATTCCTATAAAAGCAAGAAAAATCTTACCAATCCATAACAGACTACTGCAGTTTCTCTATAGAGCCTGTTACCAGCACAGAAATCAACACTGTTGAATCAGGTCACCAAGCCCACTATATGGTTAAATGGACTAAGTCCACTATAATAGCCACTGTAGTATTTCCAGGTGATATAATTGGCTAAAAAGGTGATAATTTTAAATAACAATAAGATCATATGTTTTAAACACCATATGATTTAATTAATTTTAATACCATAACAATTTAATGTTAATTTTTAGTATGAATGATCACAACAGAAAATAAAACTTAATGATCACATCAATTTTATACTTGATACAATAGCACTATAAATAAAGCAAAAATGTGAACGATCACCTGATTATAATTGTAATCAGAATTGTTCCGAAACTAATTTATCTGGTCCGCATGACAATGAAGAAGGTGAAGTACATTGTTTGATTTGAAGGAAGTAAATCTGAGCGTATGAAGATCCAACATACAAGTCAGAGGAATAGTGTTCAACAAATCCACCATGATACCAGGCTTTGCAGACGACTTTGATATGATTGGGAAGTCTTTCAGAGCAATGAGGAAGCCCTTCCTAGACCAACAAAGAGAAACCGCAAGAATGGGACTAGTCATTAATGAAATGAAGACAAAATACAGGCTTGCGAACCCTGTTGGCATGTATATTGGCCAGTATAGTTTTGAGAGACTGGAAGAATCCAATTATCTTAGAACCCAGTGAAGAAGCAGTACCTGGAAGGCCGCTGATTAGGACAGGAGAAGAAGATGGAGGAAGATGAAATTATAGAAAAATTATCAAGCAGGCCGTGAGCACAGCAATGTAAAAATGTAAAAAGACAAACTTGCAAGAGTGATTTGTTATGCAAAAAAAGTGTATCAAGTCACTGCTGCAAACTCCCGTATTGCCTTAAAGGCAGGATAGGGAGAAAAATAAAATAAAATAAAATAAAATAAAAATAAATAAATAAAATAATCAGCCCATTTATAAAACCATAATAACCTTAAAAACAATATTCACCAGTCAACAATATATATATATATATATATATATATATATATATATCAAAATATAAAAACTTACTTGCTTAAACACGCCATCAAACTATTACTAGGCTTAAACAAAGCCAATAATACATTTCCAAAACATTTGCTTGACGGACTTATCAATATTGAGAATTTATTTAGTAATTTTTTTTTATCTACTGCCAAACATATAACTTTTTTAACAATATAGGTTGTAAATTATGAGCTTTAGACATTAACCAATCCAATTGGCTTATAAATTATAATAAAAAAGCTTACAAGACTAAATTGAATGAGTTGATCACTACACTACACATTATCAAATGAGAGGAAAAATAAAAGAAATTTTCAATAAATATTTTAGTATTTTGAATAATAAGGTTATAAATAAAATATCGATAAAAGTAAAAAAGACACTTAATTTTACTTTAAACAAGCCATATCATCACAATAAACGATTTCCAAATAATGAAGCAATTTTAGATAGTACAAATATTAATACAAACCTGAGAATAATGAATAAATCAAGTAAGATGTATATTATTACTAAATATTTAGAATTAAATAAAGAGAGATTTGTTGAGAATCTAACAAATCTTGATATATCTAAAAACATACTGAATTTACATTGCCGAGGTAAAAATACTAATGTTTTTCCTATTAATTTCAAAAATGACATATATAATATTATTGCTGAGACCAAGAGTATTTTGCAATCAATTTTTACCCCTGATAATCATAAAAATGGAGTCAGAAACTACATTTCTTGAAAAATTAGCAATTTTTTAACCAAAAAACCATATGAAAGGGACTCCATTTCACGGCTCTTAAAGAAGAGTTTGTTGGATCTTAAAAAATTTATGAATAATAAACCTAATTTATATATTATTAAATCAGACAAAACGAAACGTACCATATTAATGACAAAGGATTTGTACAACCAAAAAATATGTTCCTTGCTTAATGAGAATAAAGTATATAGGGAGCTAAGAGTGGGCTGACTAATAAATTACATAAAAATAAATATATTGATGCTACTTTGACTCTGTTTGTCAAAAATTTATCACTCCTGAGAGCTGGAAAAGAGTTAATTAATATTGTATAGATACTTATATTATATTAAAAATTATAATTAATCTATGAAATTAAATTTCTACATTGTCCGAATTGTTATAGTAGGCATGACAACTCAAAACTTCAACAATAGACTTTACCAACATAAAAATTCACGTACTAATTATATAGACAAAAATAAAGAGAAAAAAAGAGCCTAAAAAAACTTTAGCTAAACATGCATTTGACTTAAAACATAAATTTGACTTTGAGAAACCGGTGATTCTCTATCAAGATAATTCTGAACAAAAATTAAAATACTTGGAAGCACCTTATATATCAGAGAGCCTTGATAGGGTGGTAAATTTTAAAACTGATTCCAAGAATTTAAATAATTTTTTTTCTATAACTATAAATATCGTGAATGAACAATGATATTAATAGACATCTGATTGGGGTATTTCTTAATCTATCATCTGATAAAACAAATATAAAAATTTTAATGTAACAGAATTTAAAATAATAATGTATTTTTGAAAAATATATATTATGAAATGTATGTAGGTATGTGTGTGTGTGGATGTATGTAGGTATGTGTGTGTGGATGTATGTGTGTATGTGTATGTATATACATATACATTGTAATGTCAACATTACATGGCATTTGAATATTGGTGCGAAAGTGGTAACAGCACGAACTACGGGGAGGAAGTGCATCCGGATGGTGGGAGAAGCAAGCCTCATGTAACTCAGAATGTGACTGGCCGCCAGGAGAGAAGGTTATGAGCCGCCAAGAGAGAATGTGACAAGCTGTCAAGAGAGAAGGTGCTAGCCAGCAAGCTGAGAAAGTGAAAAAGGAGTACTAGCTGGTTCGAGTGTTGATAGAGGCCAATAGTGGAGATTATTTTATATGGGAAGAAAAACATAGCAGGAATTAATTAAGTGCTACAGAAAACGGAACATTCGTAAGTAAGAAGAGATTATTTCACTGGCAGGCGTAAACATTTGGGTGAGTGCTAACAATGCCATTTATGTGGACAGAGGGATAGAACCAAAAGTTTAGACTGGGACAAATTATTTAATAAAACTATTTTAAATTATATATTAGTGTAGATTATAGTTATTTAATGTTGAATGAGTGTTCAGTTGTCAGAACCCAACCTGAGATTTATGTTATATGTCAAAATAAATAGTATATTGAAAAAGGAAACTCGTTGTTTGATTTTGGAGAGAAAGAGGAACGTTACAATATATATATTTATTTATATATATATATATTGTAATGTAAATATTACATAGTGATTTTAAATAGTGGCGTGAAAGCTGAGACATCACGAACTACTGTCAACAATGGACAAAGAGGTGGAGAAAGACAGATGGAAGGGGAAGCAAGTGCTGTAAGTTAAGAGGAGAAAGTGACCAGCCGATAAGAAAACATCATCGATACCGACAGAGAGTGACAGGTAACTAACAAGTAGTGACTGTCTAGACTAAGACATTGTAAAGATTTAAAGAAGACATTGTAATTCAACTAACAGGTTGTTTTCTTCAATAAAGATCTACGACCAACGATTAAGTATACTGAATATGAATGTTATGAAAAAATAATAATTTGTCGAGGAATTAACTGTTTACAGCATTTCAAAGATTTCTGTTAGATCATGAAGCTATAGAGTAGAAAGTTGATTTTCCAAACCATTTATCAGAAGATTATTTAAAAAAGTATCAAATTAGGTGAAGTCAAAAGCTGAAAATGCATTCCACAAAAAAGTTTCTAGTTAAATCTTAAAAAAAAAAATATAAAAAAAAACAGCAATCACAGTAAATTTTATAACTCAGTTTTTATGAAATCATAGCAAAATCAACTTATCATAAAATGCAGATAAATATACGAAAAATACACTTCAGACATTTCATAACAGGAAATTATAATAAAAATATACCATCATGATAACATTTGTTGCAATATAAGATGACTGTGCAAGAAGTTGTGCTATTGTAAGTCCAGCATTGATTATAACATCCAACATGCCTGTTGCTTCTGGAAAAAATAAAATTAAAAATAAATAATTAAAAAGTAAAAAACAACAAATATTTAGTGGAATTAGTGTATTAGAGAAACTAGCATGCAAAATAATGTTTTATTAAATATTTATAGACTAAGACTCGACTTCTGAAAGTCTAAATTATTTTGCATAAAATGGTTTAGGTTAGGAAGAGGAGTGAATGAGGATAACAGGTGAGCTGTTGAATAGAGACTGAGCAAAAGCTTAAGTTAAGGTAAGAACAATCATTATGAATAACTACTTAAATACGGCAACTATCTTCCAACCAAATCTCAAAACTCTAAATACTTTAATTTTATAATATAATTAAGAGTGCATAATTTATCTGCCTAATTAAAACGATAAGGATTGTATAAAAATAACACATTTTTGACGGCTAAAGTGAACTTCAAGCCATACCTGCGGTATACCGGAGAGGCAACCCTATAAAGTAGACCAGCTCTGGTAAACAAGAGAGTGCGTCTCACCTACCAAGAATGAGACCATACAGACAACTAGAATTGCATGAATGAGCCAGAAAGAATAGGAAGAACAGAATGAGAAACATAGGTTTCAGCTCAGTTAAAGCCAAAAAAGTGTAGGAAAACTTCATGTTTTATTTAGTTTTTGTAAACAGTTAATTTTTAGGGGGTTTTGATAGATATCACGGAGAAAGAGCTTATCAGCTTTATTTTTTTTTTATTAATCTGTAAAGAGGATACACTGTAGCTTCATTGAAGCCTATTGAGGGTCATCCTAAAACTCTGTTAAAACAGACCAAATGCCTTTGCAAACTCGTTAAGACTAATAGGTTCTATTAATTCTATCAATCTATCATATTCTATATGGATGGTCTCTTCATGGCTTAACGATGTGAACTGATGAACGTGATCCAGAAGGTAAATTCATTCAGTTATGATAGACGCATGATTTCCAGAATAGACAAGTTTCTATGCTGAAATAGAGGAAATAACTAACAATGCAGATGTGGAGCTCTTTAATATAAAAAAAATAATAATAAAATAATCCAATAAATTAGGCTAATAGGTTTTTGTCAACTTTTAAAAATCAAGAAAATGTCCCAAACCTTCCCTCGTCAAAACTAATCTGTAACAGTCATCACCAAAATTGGCAGCAACTACGTTATGCAGTGTTGCTGTTCAACAACTTTTTTTATAATATATCTGATAAGTGATTAATTGGAAATATAACTGTTTTTCTGAAAAAAGTAATTTATTACTACCATAGCATTTTAATAAAATTTTCAATCAATCTTCTTCATTATTTTTTTTCTTTCAAGAGCAAAAAACAATTACAAAGTTGATAATTTTGCAATAAACATATTTAATCATTAATTATGTGCTGATATACCCGTCTCTTATTTAACCGTTTCAGACTATCATTTTATAATAATTTTCTGCAAATTATGAAGCACTAATCAATAGTAGTGCAAAGATAACATTATCTTTAGTATTTATATTTTTTATACAAATTTAACAAGAATATTAAAGCAGCTCTGCCTGCCAGGTAAATACAAAATTAAGGTTACCCTCAATAATAAAATTGTTAAAATCATTCCACAGGTTGAATGCGAAATGTGCAATACTGAAAAAAAACTAAACACTTCATCATGTATTATTTAAATGCCCAATATGTAATAGTTTGAGAGTAAGATTTTACCAGGGTAAATAAAATCATAATGGGATGGAAATATTTAAACCAACCACCGTAGATGAAAAGATTTTATTTCTTTTATTCATTATTATAAGATTTTATTCATCTCTAATATCTGAAATCTAGGGAAAAACTGCAACTCCATTACAAAAAAAGTAGTTCTCCAATGGATAACAGAGCACTGCGGACTAAATGAAAATGAAATAGGCGACCAGTTAGCAAAGGAAGGAGCTTAATCCCCTCAAACAAACTGCATTCAAACTCTTGAGGAGGCCATTTCTACAAATAGGACTACTATATGACAAAGGTGGAATGGTGCCCATCCACATTACTATCCTGAAGAGGATTATTATAGGTTGAGCTGGAAAGATCAATTGTTATTCTTTAAACTCAGAAAAGGACACAACAGGATCAAGGCACACCTCTACGAAAAATTTAAAATTGGAGAAAACCCTCTCTGTAGTTGTAGAACAGGCTACCAGAATACAGAGCATAACCTCCAGACATGTCCTGAGGTCGAGGACATCAGAAAGCTAATTTTGCCAAACCCCACTGACTTGGCGATGAGGCTCTACGGTGGTTTGGAGGATCTCAGAAAGACCATAGATTTTATACTCTCAATCATGAATCTCACCATTTGAGAGAAGTTTGAAGAACAAATCATAGGGAATTGGTGGGGTAGACAATGCAAGGTCCTCTGAATACTATAGGTTTGTTTTTCTTCATTTCAGCAATCATTTAATTTATCTTTTAAATATGGTTTAACATTAATATTTAGAGAAGAAAATGTATTTATTGTTATTATCTGTATGTTCTGTTGACAATTTTAGATTGGAATTATTTTAACTGTTTGACTTTTGGCAAATAATGATTTGTAAGTCAGTCTTAAGATTTTTTTAAAATTTCATAATGCAGTTTAAAAATGTAATACTACAAATGTGATAATGAATGTAATAAAGAGATAGACCTTATTTGTTTGGGATTCTTCACACAAAAAAAATAAAGATTGATTGATATAAAAAAATTGTATATATATATATTTCTAATGTAATATTAAATAATTATTTATTTTATATATAAAAATATAAGCAATATATTTAGTATGTTAATTTTTTTTTTTATTATCAATAACAATATCGAATGATGAAAAATCTCAGAAAAAAACAATTAAATTGGCAATCGTCGCATGACTATTAACCTATATGTGCTGTTTAGTAGAAAAAAGTTGGGAATCCAGGATTAGAGGAAAAGTTTTTAAACTGTCTGTATAGCCATTATTGAGGGTCTGTGAGACAATTCTGACACTATACATCACCCAAATTCTCATTTTTATTCAAATAGCTCATTTAATGGAAATCTTACATTGTTGAGATATTTTGTGATTTGGTATTGATTAATACATTGACTATTCCAGTACTGACTTATACTGTTAACATTGTTTGTAAATCATAATTAATAGTTATTTTAAAGAAGTAATGACAATTTGGTATTATAATAATTATAATAAAATATTATTTCTTCAGGCTTGTAAAAGTAAGGTGCCTACAGTGCATTGACTAAAATCTACTGTATAATAAATCGCTAAGAGGAAAAGTGACCACATGGTGTAATATAGTGTTTGCAGCAATTCAAGGCACTAAAAACAGCATCTATTTAATAATAAATTGTTAAACTGTCCATTTGTAGTGTGGCATAGTGTTTTAATAATTTAAGGTAAAAAGATAATACAGATATGTAGTTTTATAGAGTTTAGATTGAGCACTATTTTAACCATTTTATTTAATCTGGAGGCAACAAAAAGATTATAAAAAAAGTGAATATTGAAAACTTTAAACTTTTAATGACCTTCTTCTTCTTCTTTCTCTACCTCTTTTGTGCTGTTCAGCGTGAAGCTGCAGTCCCAGCCCATCTTGCCCACTGGTCTCTTTTCCTGGCTAGTCTTGTCATCTCCGGTATGGTGCGTCCTCTTGCTGTGCCCAGTTTTCCAATGTAATCATGGAACATATGTATAGGCCTGCAACGAGGTCTCCTGCTTTCCGGTCTAGCTTCCATAAACCACTTGGCCTTCCGGTGTCGTCCATTCTGCAGATGAACCCAAACCATTTCAACTGCTTCTCTTCCAAGATGCCACGGATTGATGTCACCTCCGATTCCTCACGAATTCTGTCATTTCTGACAAAGTCCCTCTTAGTTTTGCCAGCTATTCTTAGGGGGAATCTCATTTCCACTGCAGTGATCCTGCCTATCGAGGATTGTCCAGCTTTCAGATCCATACAGAAGCACTGGGAGGAACACCAATAAAAAAGAGTCCCCAACAACATAATAATAAACCCTAATATCTATCAAATCTGAAGAGTAACACAAACGTGATGCACAATTGTGCATTCTGAAATCGAACAGTATTTTCACAAAAAGAGCCGCCAACAACATAATAATGGAACCTAATATCCATCAAATGCGAAAAGTTACAAAAACGTGATGTGAAATTGCCCATTCCTGAATTGGGCAGTATTTTCATGAAAAGATCCCCCAAAAACATAATAATGGACCCTAATATCAATGAAATCCCAAAAGTTACAAAAGCATGATGCGCAATTTGAAATCCAACAGTATTTTCATAAAAGGTACCCCCAAAAACATAATAGTGGAACATAATATCCATTGATGAGCCTAAGGAAAAAATCTAGTGAAAAAGCTGTTCAAGCCAGATAAATAGGGGAGAAAATGATTTTTTTTTTTTTATTTTTGGAATCTGGGTGTCTTGAAACCAAAATCCTTAAATTTTGATGATGTGATTATATTTTTTTTTTTTTAGTCCATTACAAAGATTCACCATTGAAAATAATAAACCAAAAGTGTAAAAGACAAGAATGTGTTTTACATACATTTCCAAATACATTGTTATGCAATTGAATAATTATAGAATAAATTAAATAGCTGTAAAGTGAAAGTGCCCCTAAATTAACTTTATTAAACAATTAATGAAAACAAAGCAGATCCTGCAACTGAAAAGTGATGAAAGGCTGCAAGAGTGAAAGAAAAAGAAAAGGCTAAGCTATTCATTTGAAGATATGGTCCTTATTAGGATTCTTAAATATGTCTAGGCCTATTAACATAGCAGGCCTTATAAAATAAATTAATAAATGAAAATACTAAGGTAGTAAAAAAAAAAAGTAAACATTGGAACATAAAATAGATTTAGAAAGCCTTGCCATACTAGCCTAATTATGTTAGTGATGATTAAATGTTAGTCTAAGAGATTAAAATAATTAATAATGGTTAAATAAGAATAAAAGTAAGATAATACAGATAAAATTAATTGGCACATCCTCAACCACAGATAATCCTAGTTATTTCCATTATATATCATGAAATTGAATTCAAAATAATGGCACCTTGCCTGTGACGAGGGTGTCTTTCATGTCCACCATTCTTTATTTCTTGAAGTGGGATTCTTTCAGCTTGGACATCATTTATAGTGTCTGTAAGCGGGCAGGTAACAACACAACATCTAAGGTTAGTAAATGATAATAGCTACTAGGCTCATACAATATGAAAACTAAACACCAAAGGGTTCATTAATTTTAAAATAATGCTCTCTCAGAATAATTTTATACAAAATACTAACTAAAGCCTTTTACTTCCTACAATTTGGAGTCAACAACTAGTTCCAACTGGGTAGGCCACAACTGGAGTTAAGATAGGATAAATCATAATTTAAACCTGTTAATCAGGTTGAGTAACTTTGGTGTTAATAAGGGTTGATCTCAATATTGTTTTTTTCCATTGAGTACAAAATTGATTAAACAAGGAAAATGAGAAATGTAATAAATTTGTGACATTCACAAAAAGTTATTAAACAATATGTCAGGAGCTCAGGGAAGGTAGGCAAATCTGACAACAATTGTGGTTTTAGGAAATTGTATTTTAAATTTAAGAAGCTAAAGATACAAAAGAAAAATAGGTTATCATGTGCAAATACTATATTTAATTACTATAAAACATAGTTTATAAAAAAATCATAAGGCATATCTGTAAATAAATTATTAACATTAATATTTTTCTCTAATATTAAGCCGAATATAAATTGTTAAGACACACTTCCTTACTGGAACAGATTGAATTTCTATTCTGTGGTTCTATGAACACTGTAAACATTTGTTTTTTCCTTTCTATTCCATTTTTTTTTTCAACATTAACCTTTTTTATTTTATTATCATCTTTCCTTGTCTCTCGGCACTACAGATTTTTGGAAGAAGTAGCACAATACTTCTATCACTTGTTCTATTTCTTCGTTCTTCCCTCTTCTTTATTAGTGGAGGTTGAAATGATCAACCCCCACTAATTCCTTCTACCCGTACACCAAAGCTTCATAGTACGGATAGTTATCCTTGCTTACTAGCTGAGAGAAATTTTCCTCTGTGATGATATAGAGTCCGGTTTACCTCAGAAGTTTGGCCCTTACTTATGATGTGATAATGAATGAAGCCCTTACTGTCTCAAAAGCCGTGCATGTTGCGCTGACAGGCTCAGCAGTTTCCGGAACACCACAACAGGGACATAGGGGTTAATTTCTGTTCTAAAGCCATGAAGCTTGGCACGAAACCCTCCCTGCCCTGTGAGGAATTGTGACACCCAATAATCAGGGAGAATCTATTTCACTTCTAACCTTAAATAGATGGTAGGAAAGTATTTTCCCAAGGAAGAGCCTTTATGAGTAATTACCCACCGTCTATTCCACTGCTCAATGGTGTTCTCCCGTATTATTCTCTTCCATTTAGATGGATCTGCCGATATACTTTCTTGAAGATTTTCCAGAAGAACTGCAGGAGAAGGTAGAGAGGTACCCCTCCTGCTAAAACCTGCACAGCTTCATGAGCAACAGTCCTGCAGGATTTTGTTACTCGCAGCATAGCCGTTCTTTGGATTATTGCCAATCTTCTTTTCTGTAGTTGCGTGAGGTTTTGATTCCAAGTTGGGGACGCGTACCTCAGGATACCCAACACTACTCCATTATAGATAATCACCGTTACCGGGTACCTGAGAACCCAGAAGGTGCCCCCAATATGACTTAGTCCATTGAGTACTAGAGTCCACCCTACTTCTGAGGTAATCCAAGTGAGGAGTGTCATTGAATCTTCTACCGAACCTTACTCCAAGATAGGTCACTTACTCACTTGGACTAATCCTTATACCTTGTATATTTATAACAATAGGGTGAGCCCTAGCATTTGTACCTACAAGCATAGCTTGGGTTTTGGCACCTGCCATTTTTAACTTTTTCCTCACACACCATTCTTTGACAAGATTGGCACACTTTCCTGTTTCTTCATTCGAGCCGGCTCTGCTGATGGATGCCACCACTACGGCAAAGTTGTCGTCATAGGACGTAGCAGGGAACCGCTCCTCTTCGAGTACGCTCAGCAACTCATCGAAAATTAATTTCCAAAGGGCAGGTCCAAGAAAAGAGCCCTGGGGACATCCCCTTTCTACACTTTCTTCGAATTCATAGAAGTTACCTCAGATCCTTACCCTTCGACCCTCTAGGTAACTTCACATTAGTGCATATAAGTTGGTGGTGGCCTCAAACCTTTGTAGCTGCTGTAACACCTTATAAAACCACACGCTATTGAAGGCAGAGGATACATCAAACAAAAGTAACATGACATACTTCTCCGCCTTCACTTCAACGTTGTGCCGCACTTAGAGCAAAGCAACTGCAAAGGCGGTTCCCTTAACTCTGGTGGATCCATATTGCTGTGGATGACTAGCTCTATCTAGTGACGGTCGCAGTCTCCTTAATATGAGGTACTCCAGGACCTTGCTCATCACAGGGAGGAGACAGATTGGTCTGTATGATTTAGCAAGTTATCTCTGTCACCTCCCTTGCAGAGCACTTTCAAATCGGCAATCTTCCACTCTCTTGGAAAGTGACCCCTATCTAAGCAGTCATTGAAGATGTTTAACAGCCGTTCTTCAACATTAACCAAGATTAAATATCAGATTGAATGAATTTTTAATTTAATACTCATTCCAACTCATAAGCTTACATAAACAATATTTTTACATATTCTATTCTACAAGGTCCCAAAAATTATAGAACACACTTTTGATAAGTTTCATCCCAAAATTCTTTTTACAAGTACATTGAACACCACTGAAGGAACAGAAACCTCCTTTCAACTTCGACTTGAAACATCACATCACTATTTCTTTTCTTCTTACACTTTTTCACAATCCATATCTTAGGCCATTTCATTATTTATATCCCATTATTAGTGTCACACTAACTTTCACACAACTAAGAGAGAAACATAACTAGATGCACAATTTCAATAAATAAAAGATGAAAAACTTGACAACTGATGAATGTGAAAAAAACGAGAATAATGACATTCACCCAAGAACTGCAATAAATTTCAACTTGGAGATAAATCTGACAACTGATATCTAATGGAATAGTAAGTTCCAATCAATCTACTGCTTAAAAAAAAAAAAGAAATGTGGATTTATTTTCTAACATTTGACTTAATTTTGCCTGTGTAGACTGATACAACACTTGAAACACTGTTCATTTCAACCTGATGTTCATACAAATAAAATTTAAATGTAATCTATCCATATCCACACTATTTGAAACATGCTTGCAAGAATAAAGGCAATAAAGAAAATAAAATAAAAAAAGGGGAAAAAAATAAATGGATTTTATTTCATACATTTGCCTTTCCTATCCCGAGCTACTGATAAAAAAATAAAAATGTTAATTCTGTTTCATGATATATGAAAAACCATAAAATAAAGAAATTAAATTAATAAGAAACCCTTAACCAAATAAATAACTGACAAAGTGATGATAAAAAAGGTGATATGAATGAGAGACTAGATATAATGAAGTTTTTAATTTGGATGATATATTAAAAATGAACCAACAAAATATAAAATGAGTTAAGAGTATTTTTTTAAATGAAAAAACATAATAATATTGAATGAATGAATAAGATGATGAATGAGAGAGTTGATAGACAAAATGAAATCTTAATGTGGATAACTTGTTTACAAATCAATATACAAAATTATATTATATTAACTTATTTTTAATTAAAATTTTTAGCAATAATAAATTAGAGGAAATGAAATATATATTCGAAACAATAATCGGTCTTTTTTTTTTTGCATCGGTATTTCATAGCCATATAAATCAAGCAACAAAGTAAAAATAGAAAAATAAATAGTTGTTCTGAATATTTGTACAATTATTCTATTGCTAATAGAACTATTTCTTACAGCTGTTGCTATATATTTTACTCGTTACACTTGCACCAAACAATGTTATCCAACAAGAATAATTAATTTAACATAGTGATTTCTGTTTAGAAATACAATTTAAAGAAACATCAGAAGGTCTTACCTACACCTTAATTTGTATAATCTAAGTTCCATTAGCTTTATAACTATAAGTATTTTATTTTATTCTTAATGGTTAAATAATTTCAAAATTAATAGAGGCCATTAGAGATTCTGCGGAGTGTAAAACAAAGTGAGATTACAAAGTTGGGAATAACAAAGTGAGTTACACTTTCCCCAAATCCCAGAGAAAGTGTAAACTCTAATAATCTTAAAATTATTCAACCATAAAAAAATAAAATAAAAATCTTTATGGTTTTAATAAAGCTAATGGAACTTGAATTATGAAATAAGGTTGAAGTAATACCTATTAAGAATTCGTTAAATTGTATTTATAAACAAAGATCACAGTAAAAACAATGTTAAATAAATCATTCTGTTTGGGTAACATCATTCGGAACAAGTATAACCGGAAGATTACATTTGCTCCAGAAGATTGGTTACATTTGCCCCATAAAGTGTTATGGTGAGTGTAACCATGTTACATTAGTTTATAAAAAAAAAAAAATATGCAGTTATCTTCATAAATACAAAGATGACAGACTACCGAATTCTGAACAAGCTGCTCTCTCACAGAATGAAAACGTAACCTCAATTTTAACAATGAAAATTAGCTGTCATGACTTGGCAATCTTTATTTGAGTATAAAAAGAAAAAGGCTAAAATAAATATCGGCGATGGGTATTAGACCAGTCAATGAATGCTCAAAAAGGGGTTATAGAAGGAAATGGCAGGGACACAATTTTTGAATTGGGGACATTGCTTGGCCTAGTAAGGAGGTAAACATACTTAAAGTCCCCACTCTTAGATGGTGAGCCAGATATGGGGGAGAGGCTACCTAGGTCACTTTTTTCAGGTTTTCACTTATATCTGGAAAAACTATCCATTGCATCGAAAAAGACGTTCTATACAAAATTAAAGCTGATAAAATTTGTAGTACGATTTATTATATACCTTTTTCCGCTATCTCACTTAGTTTCTGAGATATTTGTCCTCAACTAAGGCTAATTTGAAAAAATCATATTTGGCTCATGTTTATTACTGTTTTTTTTTGGGTTGTTCCTTATATCAGGAAAACTATCCATCACATTGACAAAGACATTCTTAACAAAATTAAAGCTGAAAAATTTTCAATATGATTGATTGACCGTATCACCGACCAACTCCTTCTCAAATTATAACTTTATATGTCAACTCCGAGAATTGATTGATAAAGTTATAATTGATCGAAGTTTTCAACAGTTGAAGATAAACTAGTAAAATAATATATATTCTTGAAGAAAATTTAATTATTAAAAACTTTCTTCCCTATGACTAAATCATAGAATGAAGCAATCAAGAGTTAGCTAGTCAAATACAGTAAAAATCATAAGGTAAACATTACTTTTTTCCAACTTAGTGATAGTTGAGGACGAATATCTCGGAAACTAAACGACATAGCAAAAAAAGGCATATGATCCTGATATAAAAGAAAACTTGAACCTTCTAGCTGCCGTCCCACATCTGGCTCACCAACCAGGAGTTGAGACTTTCAGTATGTTTACCACATTACAAGTTCAAATAATGTCCCAAAGTCAAAAATTGTGTCCTCATCATTTCCTTCTTTAACTATACATTGACTGGACTATATTAAGTATAAATAAGGTTTATTTCAAGGGTCATAAAGTCGTGGTTACACTGTCCCCATATTTACACTTACCACACAGCTCTAATCAAATTTGAATAAATAAATTTATTTAACAGTAACTACTCAGTCATAACACTTACCTTCTGGAGCTTTTAAATCATCCGAGACTTCTGTAAGAGTCGCACCACTTCCTCTTGAATCTTGTAACACTCCTCTCCTTGGAGGAGTCCTTCTGTACAAAGATTCTCTTCCTCGGATCAGCTTAATACACAAAGTAAAAAATTTAAATCTTATAAAATATTTTCATTAAAAAATGTAAGTATAACTAACTGGATAAAATTTGGAAAACCAGAGAATTAAACCTGATAACTTTTAGGTTGGGGAATCTAAGAAATAAAAGTGGCATTTTTTTCTCCATCAGCAAATCAATGCAGGCAACAAATATTTTTGAATTATTTTTACACCATAGTTTTCCATTAAAGCCTCAAATTTATTTTTTATTTTATAAATAGGAATATATTTATTTAAAATATCATTGTAATTATTTCAATTAGTAAATATTTGATTACTTTGTTTTATCCTTTTTAATTTATAGTGATACTTAAAACTTCTTATTTTAAATGAAATGATGTTTTATATTATTCAAAATCAAGAAGTAATGAATACATAAAGTATTACACGTAATGGAGGACATATATCACTCACGTAAAGAGACATTTAACAAGGAATTAGAAAACAAAAATCAACAACATAAAGATAAAAGCCGAGAGTATTTGAACGGCTTTTTTATAAAGATGGGATGAAAAATAACTTCTATGAATCTTATTGTATGAATCATAGACATTACATAAAGTTGGAACATCAATAAAATGAATAAAAAATTATAACAATTATGAATTAATCTATAGTAGCCGACGGGACATTAGGCGGGCATTGCAGCATTGCCAAATCTCGCTTCACAACCTAACTCCATCATTTAGAATCCTTTAACTGTTATTTCAGTTTGTTAGGATGAAGTAAAGATTTCTCAAGCCTTTTAATGTTTAAACTATTTTTAAATAAAACTTAAGGTCAATTTTAACGAATAATGGAAGTATTAGGTAACAAGAAATAGGCGATGTTGCCAGATGGTGTTTTAAATACTTGTGGTTAAAAGGCTAAACTGATCTAGCCTTTGCATTCATGCCTTATTTCACGTCGACTACTATAAATCAAAATAAATAACAAATAATGTTTGTAATGTGAAGATGTGATTAAACATTCAAAGCTACTATTGTGGATAGTGAATACATTTATTTGAAAACATTAAATAAAGCATGCATAAGAAGTTATAAAGTAATTAAAAAAGCAAACACTAATAATAATAGCATGGATATAATGAAAGGCAGAAGAGAAAAAAGAACAAACAAAAAGAAATAGGTTTGAAGACAAAACATTAACAATCTGGAGTAACCACAACATAATAAGTTGGTTCGTTTACGAATAGATGCAGTTTTAAAAAACTAAATAATAAGTATTGTCGTAAATTATGATAGATAGCTGTTATTTAATCTTTCAATTTAATATGGCTACCATCAGAACCAAAAAAATAATTAATTACTAAAGAAGAACCCTGAATAGTGGTAAAGATGAAAAAACTAAAACTTTTTTTCACAGAGTTAAATAGTTTCAGCATTTACACTACCACCAGAATTAAATTATTCAAATTAAAATGTCACTAACATACAAAAGAGAAAATTATTTTTACAATAACAAACCTTGACCAGCGAACATAAGATGAACAGGAACACAAATTTGACATTGTAACAGTGAATATCATGGTTTAGTATGAAGTTTTAAGATTACATAATAACTTAAAAATCATTTGGAATTTTCTTTTAATTTATGAAAAGATAAAGTTTGGTAATATAAAAAATAACTATTAGAGATTATAATTAAAAACTCTACAATCATTTGTAAATGAAATCATATATTTAAAGAAATTTTTATTTAATGTAGAAATAAATCATACATCTAACTTCAATATATATTAATATAAATACAACATAAATTGAAATTTGTTGTATTGTATGATATTTTAGCAAATAAACAAATTAAATTAAAATACCAGCTTTACTGATGGGTGTCTCTTTCATCAACAGGATGGATAATAAAGGTTTTACTTAGTAGTTTTAAATAACTATTAAAGTTAATTAAAAGATGTGCACCAAATGTTTAAAAATAATTTTTTTTTTCTATAGAAGTCGATGACTAAACAATTTTATTTTATTAGCTAAAATGTTTTATAAAAGTTAACTGCATAAAATAGTAAATTGTATTTGTATAGAATTCAATAAACATTATTCATATTAAATGCATAAAATTGACAAATTTTCAAGCATACATACTCAAAATTTTTTTTTATAACATTTTAAAAATAAGAGCAAAGTTGTGTTACTCCACATTAGTGTAACTTTGTAAGATAAAACTTCATTACTATCTAAAGAGGCCATTTTCCATTTGAATCCAGATCAAATTGTTAAGTGTTTCTTGATTTTTAAAAACTTAGTGATTACACAATCAGAATTATAAATCATCATCTTATAATAATACTTTTCCATTCACTTGGTTATAAGATTTCAATAGCTTTGAAGGCTTCCTAAATTCAGTACTGAGTTCATCAATGATTTCAGATTCGTCTCTTAACTAAATGAAGCGATGTCATCGCTGAGATTAGGAACTTGCCCATTTTCAACATAAATTGTGAAAATTAAGAGTTGTATATCTCTACCAGTTCCTAAACTTAAAGCTCTTTATCACCTATAGATGGACTGATTTATTTTAATCATTCTTGTTTTGCATTTTAAAATTTCCAATATTAAATATAATTGATGTTTATTGTTCTTTTTATATAATTTACACTTTTATATTCTTGCTATTATTTTAAAAAAATTATTATTGGACACAATGTAAATAAAATAACTTACTATTATAAATAAATTTCCATACATAAAACTCAATTACCCGAGCAATTCAAATTCTGAACTGAATCAATGAATTATAAAAACAAAAATAATTTTTAATTTAATTTTTTATGCAACACCTTATAGTTTGCGGTACAGAAATATTTTGATCAAATTATTAACAAACATTTAAAACTTTGTGAATGACTTCATCTTATCGTAACCTACAACTTCTTTTATCAACGGAAATTTATAGAAAAGGGACGTTTTCTCATGAAATTAATAATTTTATGAGGCACTATATAATAATGAATACTTATTTACTTCCCACTTTAATTGTAACATAATTTGATCACAAAGTCGAGAAAAAGATGCCCTACAAAAATATTTTGGGCCATTTGACCCATATAACCTTCAGCTAATCCTTTGTTATTCGTGCTATCTCCGTTTGGAACTCTCTACCTACCTCCACAAATTCCTTCAAACAACTCCTGTTCCACCATCTACTCCACATTCAAACTTCCACAAACATGTAAAATTACTTGCATCTCTATACTGTTTAATTTTAATCAAATTCACAATTGCAATAACAATCAACAGCTAATTATATTGTATTTTTATTATTTTAAGCCAGACTAAGATCCATAAATTTGTAACTCTGTTATTATTCTTAGGGGACTGTAGTCCCAGAATAAAATTACCTTATGATTTAAGTCAAGAGCAAATGGATGTTCGTGGAATTTTTAGTACCTTATTAAATAGACAAAGTTTACGAATCTCCAGTTTGAAAACTCCCCATTTCCAAAAATTTTCGTTACAAATATGTAGGCTATGATAAGATGAAGCCATCCATGAAGTTTTAGATGGATGACTATTGCCAATACGTAAAATATGAAAAAAAAAAAATTACTTGACTAACATATAACATAACCTAGTTTGAAGTTAATTAATAGAGTTACTACATACAGGCGTTGATTCAGTCAACACCTCATTATTTTGTCTGGGATCCAAATTGGTGCCTGGCTCCTAAAACAAAAAATAAAAAAAGGAAAAGCTTAGCCAAATACCTATGAAAAAGCAGCTGTGCCCCACGAAAATTAAGCATACATGTTTAAAACATGCGCACAAAATACAGTATAAAAATGTAAATAATAAAATAATTCTATTTCTAACAATGAAAAGCTATGTTTACATGACATAGAGATAATTTTATTTATACTTTTCATATTATTACAAATACTTAGAATAATACATGCAAATAACGTTTGTGTATGTATAAGAGTGAATCTACGATGGTGAGAAAAAGCATTCGAACAAACCAATTTTTTATAAAAATGCTAAAAGTTTAAATTTAAAATTGTTTTTATGGAGTTTGACCTGAGTACCAGATACCACATTCATGCCATCCTTATAAAAAGGTATAAGGATGGATCATGATTGTTTGCCCCTTATGAGATATTTAACTCTAAAAATCACCGAAAACTACTTTTGATATTTTTTTGAAAATTCATATTTAAAAAAAAACCCTAACTTTTCAAAATTGAAATTTCTTCAGCAAAAACCATATTGATATTGATAGGAGTGTACATAAAAAAAAATCAAAGGAGAGTACATTTTCATTAAACACTTAGAAAGAGCTAACTAAAAGTCTCCTTTTATGGTAATTTTTTTAACCACATTCCTTACCGCTTAATTAATACTTTATAGAACAGAAAAAATTATCATCTCATTGTCATCATTTTAGTTTTTATTTTCATTTTATATCCGTAAAATTACCTGAGTTAGATACATTTTCCCAAAACATGTTTTCAGTTGAAAAGCAATTTCAAAATGGCTGGATAGAATACAATGTGAGCCTTGAGGAGTTTTTAAAAATAGTTTTGATCTCGCTAAACAATAGTCAATAACTGACAAAAAATCATAAAAATCAAGAATATTGAGGAACAAAATTAATTCAAATTAGGTGATTTTATATGGATTGACCCAATAGTCTTAACTACACTGTTACATATTAATATTGTTTCTAATCATACTAATATTACATCAAAAGAAATGAAATTTTCTTTTTATTTAATTTAACAAAGATTTTAGACTTATAGGTATTGACATATGATATTGAGAGACATATATATAGGTGGGAATGAATAAAACGCAGAAGTCCAAGGAGATGGTTGGATGACGTTGAAGTGGACCTATGACAGCTTGGGGCCAGATGATGCAGAGCTGTTTCTTCATTCAGCCTCGTCTGGTAGGCTACCCATGAGGAGGCCCATGTGTGTCGTCAAAATGAGGCAGAGAGTCAAAAACACTAGCTCGTGTATTGGCCAAATTTTTTAATAACATGCTCCTTATAACACACAGGCACAATAATATAAAGAAACAGCTATCTAAACTCTTAAACATGAACAACTTTAGATGTTTCCTCAAAGTCTATTGTCTAGATACTGAAAGCTCTGCAAGATGCGTTTAATGCAACAGAACTGGAGGTGCTTATTAGTGGAATCTACAACCATTTTTGAAACTAATGACTAATAAGGTGCAGGCAGAGAAAGAAGAAATTTATAAGAAATGCATACCCTACTACTTAAAAGAAAAATATAAGGATGAATTGGGAGAGAGAAACTTCTCAGTTAAAGGGCTATAGTTCGAAAGCAGAGGAACCATCCCTCTTAATACAAGTGGTTTCTTGCAGAAGCTCGGATTGGAAGGGAGCAGATAAGGAGATAATGGCGGAGACTATTATTTTTGACTTGTTGGAGATCCTTCATCACCACATATACTAAGGCTTTGCTTATTAATTTCTGTACATTGCTTTTTAACATATTTGCTATGTTCAAATGGTCCCAACTAACTCCTTTGTTCTGATATTAAATAACGTATCTTGGACTGATAAGTATGCTGTGTGATTTAGCAACTCAAAAGAGTTGAACAGCCATGCAATATTATTGTAGTTCCCACTCTACAATAAAACCTGATTTTTACTTTAAATGTAACGTGATGTTGAGATACTTTGAAAAAAAATTCATTTCTTCTTTTTTACATTACATAATATAAACAAACAACAGAGGAATAAATCATACTTTTGTTGATTGTAATATTAACCCAATATCAATCAATCAAAAACATTTATTTTAGGATAATAAAATGCATATATATACAGACAATTTTTGGATTAAGAAATCACATAAAATTATTTACAGAACTACACCAAAAAAAGATTCAGCACAAGTATAAATGCCTGTACAGCCGGATTACGTATTTTGTTTGTTTACCCGGACTTTTCTAGTAGCCGACCGCCACCGGTTAGTCTGGTTACGCAGTAACTTTCCTTTTTGAGACAACCTTGTGCTTAATTGCCTAGTAATTCCTGTTTCTTTCATTAACAAAACCTGTGAAATTGATCATATAAACAAGCAAGCAATCAATGATTTGTAAGTAACCTTGTATTTCCGATTAACCACTAATACAGATCCTGATCATATCTATAATGAAATAAAAAGTCTATATTCTACAAAGCATTCATCAAGTTACATTATTAGTATGAATACATAATTGTGCATATATTTATGCAAAATTACAAAGAAAAAAATTAAGAAGCTACTGACACCATTACCCAGAAAAATATTACCTACTGATAGATTAGCAAATAATCAGTTTAAAATTATAAAGCATTAATTAGAGAACAGAAATAAAACAATAGATTATTTTAGGTGGTATACAAGGGAAGTACTTCGATATGCTATTCCAAAATATAAACTTTAATATACTTACCGGGGCATTGATGATTGCATCAGATTCAAAGCAGAGTAAATAATAAAGTAATATGAGAACGATTGGGTTTACAAATGAAGCCCATTCAAGAGTATTCATATGGGTAAGGCGGGGATCTTCATTGCAATCAGTCACAAGAAGGGCTGTCAGACCTAAATACCTGCAACATATTTCCACTAATGGTGATGTATTTGTAAGCACCAAAAATATATTTTGGCACTTATATTAAACATATCAAAGTATAATGTCATATTTACTCAAATATCGTTTGATTCAGGGAAAAATATGACAAAAGAAAATTTAAGCAAGGAACAAATAAATTTCCAAATACAATATACGCATCACATGATTAAATAAGGTAATCAATAAATAAAAGATGTGGCTTTTTGGGGGAGAGGGGAAGGGGGGATTCCTCTTCTTCCTGGTCTTTAAGGCTATACGGGTTTTTCAGGGCCAGGGAGTGTGGGCGGGGATTTAAAAGACTCCCCCGGCACTCGTGACTACTTTTTATCATTTTGTCTCATATATCAGGTTACCAGGCAACAGCGGTGCTGTGCACATGCCTTAGATTATTCGGACACCCCGCCCACATACAAGTTGTGGCTATTAAATAACATGATTGCTGCAGTAAAACATTTTATTTTGATTTCATATGTAATTTACTTATTATTATCCTCAATATAGACCCTTCCTCTATTCCTATAACGCTCCTATTGCAATAGAGTGGCGATGGAATGTACGGATTCACACTAATATCTGGTTACACTTAAGTAGAGGCACTCAAATTGATCCACGAATTTTAAACAGAATGAGGAAAGCTAACAGAATTTTCTACCTAATCAGTAATACATTAATCGGCAAGATGGTGATCAACAGGAATGCCAAACTGGCGATCTTAAAAAATTCTTGAATGTGTTATTATATGGAGCAGAACACTGGACAATCACAATTGTGGAGAAGCATATATCAAGAATAACCTTTGCAGAAATGAAATTCCACGAAGAATTGTAGGAAAGACAAAGGGAGACTGTATATATCATCAGGTCATTAGGAACAAATTACCTATAGTCTCCATAAAACAAAATAGAGAAGCCTCAACTGAGACGGTTGGGACATGTATGGAGAATGGCAGATTCCTGCAAGACAAAACAATATATGGAGGCAAAACCTGAAGGGCGAAGACCTGTGGGACGACCCAAAATTAAATATAGGAAGTACGCGGAAGGATTGAGCACAGAAAGTGGACTGAGGCTCAAATTCGACACTGAAAGGCACAAGAGCAGGTAACAAAGAAGGTTCTATGTTATTCCCATTTTAAACTCTCAATTCAAAAATATCATTTGTTTTGCATGTATCATCCATGATCGTGTTTTGAACCTTTTTTTTTTTTTTTTTTATTACATTTTCTTTTTCCAAAATCTATGATAATAAGTGAACAATTTATTGCTTATTATTGATACAAATTGTATTTATTAAGTTTCCTACTGAAAAACCTATGAAGTGAATTAAAAAGCCTTCAGTTTGACCGAAATAAAATTTTCCTGTATTGAATCGGAATATGGGTGGATTGCTATGTATCAAACAGATCAAATAACTTTTAAATTTAATATTATTGAAAACACTGTCAGAAACTAGTTGACACTTCACACATATAGTGTAAACTAGATTGGTCCAGAGCACGTTGAAGGAGTTCCCAGCCAGATATCGCATTTGGAGGAAGCTTTTAACCAAACTAAATTAAATAACTTACTTTCTTTATAGGAAAAGTTTATTGTCAAATCTCCTGAGAGAACTCCCATAAATAAAATTACGCTAAGGGAACACACCTAAAGAGTTTTCTTATAGGCCTATTAATTTGTTATTCTTGTCCTCTTGAGGGTGTGACCAGTTTAATTAATACAAGTAATATTGATGATTAGAAAACTGATAAACAAAAACTAACCTTTCGTAAGGAAATACAATTTAACCTAGACTGAATAATAAATTATATATTTAAATTTCTTTTATTTATTCTTATTAATAGTTATTAAATAATTCCGGAAGACTATACTCAATAATTATCCAGTGGCATCCCGAAGAAAATGTTCTGTTAAACACATAACACGATGCTTATTTTAGAAAATTAAATTTCAGGCAAAAAATCTTGACCTATATTCTAGCAAATATTGGGTTGGCAAATAAATCCTTTCGGTTTTTCTGTTTATTTTTATGTCATTATGATACACTTCTTATCTGATGAATTAATCTCTAAGGTAGATTGTTTATCCTGTTTGTAATATGTCAACAAATATATCTGTTAACTCTTGATGAAACTAGCTTAGTATTGTGTTTGCTATTGCACTGTGAATATGGAAAAAAATAACATTCATTCATTATCACCATATTTTGTTGTATTATTTTAAAAAAGTAAGCATGCTGCAGAAGCTCATAGAAAAATTTGCAGTGTTTATAGAGATAATGCCTCAACCAAATGCACCTGTCTAAATTGCTTTGACAAATTTCATTCAGGAAATTTTGACATCAATGATGCTCGACAGTCTGGTCGCCCCTTTGAACGAGCATTTAAACGAGCAATGTTAACGCAGGCCATTGTTGATCAAAATCTTACCCAATCAGTGCGAGAGATTGCTATGGCCCTAAATGTGATGCACAGAAACGTAGAAAACAATTTTCACAAGCCCGGCTATGTTTCTAGGCTTAATTTTTGGGTCCCTCACATTTTTTTTTTTTTTTTTTAATCACAAAAAATGTAATAACTTCAATACGACTTTAGCTATCTATAAGAAATTTAGCAGTAATTTAGGGCCACATAAACTACACAAAATGACATCAACAGGACCTTCCTAAACAAACTACAAATGGAGATAAAAAATAAAAACCTATAAGGAGTACTTGTTTATTTATTCGTCATGTAGGCATTAAACAAAAAAAAAATCATTCATACGGCTTTGAAGAGCAATAATTCAGCTTTCCAACGGATATAGTAACATCAAATTTGGAGAACATCCTAAAGAGTTATGAATGATCGGAAGGGTGTTGTGTTCCACCAAGGCAACGCTAGGTCCCACACCTCATTGGTCATTTACAATAAATTATTGAGCCTTGGATGGGACCTTTTGTTCCACCCTTTCTATTCACCAGATCAAGCTCCAAGTGATTACCACTTATCTGGTCTCTCCAGAACTCCATGAATGGAAAGAAATTCCAAAAGGAAGAGGACATCAAAAACTGATCCAAGTCAGTTTTTTAACAATAACTCCAGACATTCTATGGCATTCTGCAGTTAGTGGAAAGATGGGAAAAATTCATATTAAATAATAGTCATTATATAGTAAATTAAAATGAATTTTATGTCTATACTACATTGATTTTTATTTCACCCTGAAAAATGAAAGGACTTATTTGCCAATTCAATATATTATTTTTTCCTAAATAAATATAATCTAGTATTTTATAGGACTCTTTAGAACAGACCTTGGAATAGGTGAGTCAGGAGGAAGCAATTCTTGAATCCACTCCATCTGGTAGAGGTAAAGAGCGATAATATGGCCCATGAGGAATACCATGAGGAGGCGACAATACCAGGCGAAGAATCGACCAAGCTGCATATTGCAAGCCCAGCTCGTAGCCAGTATCAGGAACGATAAGTAATAGAAGCCCGAAAGAATGGAGGGCCTCAAGATCCCAGCGAGACACATCATCATTAAGCAGATATACTTGCCTGGAATAAGTAAACACTTCACATTGTTTCTAAGATGCTTTTTACATTTGTTATAATAAACATTTCATAAATATAGTTCATATGTAAAGAAGGTACTAAACTTTATTTATAAGTAATGGGTGCTCGCAAATAAGTCAAAAATATTTATAAATGAAAGATTGGTTATATATTCACAGTATCAATATATACTGAGCCCAAGTTCAACCACTATTCTTATATTTAAAAGTGTATAAGTATATATATTCGCTTCAAGTGGAAATAAAATAAATATATCCTGTATATATAGGATATATTTATTGTATTTCCACTTTAAGCAAAAATTGCTTGAAATCATGAAATTGGTGTTGTTTGAAGTACATGATACTAACAAAATCATTGACAAAAGATTGTATTGGACAGCAATCAATGCGGAATTTCACGATTGATAAGAATTTAGATTGACATTGATTTCATGTAATTGATATTATGTGATAGCAGACCTTAAAAGCAACAAAAAAAGTTACTATAAACAATGGTCTAATTTCGTTAAGAGAACCAGGAAACTTTAATTTGTATTTTTTAAGTTAACTAAATTAATACTTCAAAATAGTATCGTCTACTATGAACAACACTAATTTCATGATTCGGAGCAATTTTCGCATAGAGTGGAAATAAAATAAATATAATTTCATAAATATCTCCTTAACCATTAATTTTTATTTTTTAAAAATATATAGGATCATTCTTGTAGAAATTTTAAAGTAGTTTAATATTGTAATGAACAATTTCTGTGAAAAAAACTCGTAGTTTTTGAGATATTCTCAAAAAACTGAAAAATGTCAGTTTTCTATTCTTCCTCTCCTACCTCCATCAAAACCCGACAGGAAATTCTTTGGGACTTCTTACTAGTTATTATGGGGAGAGTAATAAAGAATTTCTGACGTTTCATCTTTATTTTTTGGATGTTGGGGTCAATCCCTAATTTTGCTGGACTACTTTTGCTAGTCCCACAATCCGTTCCTCATTCCTTTGTCAAAGTTATAATTTCCTGCTTAAGTCTTATTCTTATACGTTCCTTAGTGTATGCTATCCGGGAAATACTAACAGTTCCCACCTAAAGTATTCCTGCCATCTTTGTAGTTTTGATTAGCAATCTGTTGAGCTCTGTTAGGGTAAGTAACTTGTAATGTTTTTGCTTATTCACTTGATTCCTCCATCATAAAACATGATTATCTTTTATGTTTAGTATTTTTTATTATTTTATCTTTTTCTAATGGTTTGCGGGTTTTTTTTTTTAAAAGAAAAAGATAATCTGATTATTGTTTGTTGAAGCCGAAATTTTCTTTCAATTGAAATTTTTATTTTAGGAGCCAGAAAAAAAATGATCCCTCCAATAAGAGATTCCAAGTTTAGAGGGCTTACTTATTTTGAAAGCATTTTATAATACTTACCTTAAAATTTCTTGGATTGTATAAAAAAAAAAGTTGGTATTCCGCATTCCCTGTATGTCATTAGTTTATTGTTCAATCAATAATGGAATAAAACGAAAAATCTCTATATTTGAAATTTCATGGCTATGCATTAATGAACAGTCTAAGAAATGATTCTGGTAGAAATCCGCCAAAACGGTAAGACTTTATTTAATGAAATTCAAATTTTCAAAATGCCTACATTTAAGAGAACCATCAAAATATTATCGTGTATTTGAATTGACAGTATATACTATAAAATATTATAAAAAATAATGTAAACTTTGATACTCTCAAATTATGTAGATTCTGATAAAGAAAATTTATTTAAAAGTTGCTAATAATTTTGGTATTTAACTAATCCAGATGACTTAAATTGTATTTGTCAACTATTTTTGAAAGCCATTTATTTTTTTTTGCCCTTCTCTTCCTTGCCTTTTAGGCTATCAGAGTTAAAATCACTCTGGTACCGGGACGCAAACTCGCACTTACTTTATCAAATAACATCATTAATCAGGGAGCTGGGTAATGCAATGGGTAAGCACTCACTCCTCAAGGTCCCAGGTTCGAGTCCAGCTGGTGACTAGTAATTTTTCATTAGCTGTTGATCAACTCTGGAGTCAGGAGGACCTCCTGGGGACACACAGCCACTATAATGTTGGTACTCTTAATTAAATAATTAATTAAGAGGAAAAACCTGGTGGTCTAGTGTGATAGCGGCCCAATCACCTCCTTGCACAATCGTAGGCCTTGTAACAGTGCTTCCTCACAGAGTACTGAACCCAAGACCCTTCATGGGTTGTAGTGGAACAGGTCTTTGTATGTCCATGTTTTAATGTTTTTTTTTTTATTGTGGGAGGTCCATTTTTAACTCGACCATTAGGCATTTTTTATATATATTTAAAATTTCTATATAATAAATATATATATATATACATTTTTTAGGAGGAGGAACCTCGGGCAATGCGGCTTTCCTTGGTGTGGGCGGTCACCCATCCAAGTGCTAACCAATTGCTTAACTTCGATTATCTATTGCAAGCACCCTGGCCGACATGGCTACCCCAGCCCCCATATATATATCTTTTTTTTTTTTTATCAGAGTTCCGGGCAATAGCGGTGCACAAGCATTACCCCAATCGGCAACCCCGCTCCCAATAAAGAATGCAGTGGAACAAGTCTTGAACGGGAACCTTCACCATATCAAGTTCGCATTCCAACCACTGGACCATCGCTGTCCTTAATTGAAAGCCATTTATCCAACTTACTTACCTAATTATATTTTATAATTGGTAAATGGTTGACTGTCGTGGATAATGAAGAGAAGAATAGTTGGTGTGGTCAGTCTGTTGTTATCTGGTTATTTTCTTAGCCCTGATGAAGGCCTGAACTTCAGGTCGAAACGTCGCCATATGTAAAAATAAATATTATCATTTATTTTTGCCTTCTTTTTTGACTGACCACCCCAACTATTCTTTTCTTAATTATATTTTAGTTTATAATAGAAGTATAAAAAAATGTATTCATTTTTTACAAAACATATTTTACCTCCTTCCGAGGTGTCTGATTATAGTTTTAATACAGAACTATAATTAGAGTGCTACCAATGGGTAGTTTCTCTTCATGTTGTACATGTAATTTTACTAATTTCAAATTTACTTATATTTTTTTTTTTTGTAATACAGTTGTGAATTTCAATAAATATATTAAAAATATATACGAGTATATATATATATATATATATATATATATATATATATATATATATATATATATATATATATATATATATATATATATATATATATATATATATGTGTATGTATTTTAGCTTGATGTAGCTCGATAACATGATGTAATCCATGTCATTTATGAATCTATGAGAGTGCCAACAGGAGCTCTTTCTATATGATCAGAATAACCTAGTCCCAAATCTGAATTGAATAGAATAAAATGCTGAGTACACTCAATCTGTTAATTTCTACATGTTAATTATATGTTTAGACAATAGCTTTTCTTTTGTGTATGATTGTTCAAATTTTTCTAATATTTATTTTTGAACAATAGTAAATACACCACCCTATCATTGAAGTCAATTCCACTGTATGGAAGCTATCCTCAAAAAAACAAATAATAAATAAACATTGATACAAATACATATAACAAAAAAACAAATATATTGTAAAAGCAGATAGTACCAAACATGGTTAAAATTGCCATTCTTCTCTGTGATGCAGTGTTATCATTCGATGAGGCACTCTCTTCGTTATGGTGAGGAGGCTCAGAAACTGGCAACATTTCATCAGTGAGCAAGTTGTGGGGATTTAGTTTTGATGAAATAGTATAGACAACAATAGAGGTTACCAGCACTACAACATCTGGACCTATCAGTATTATTCGGTCGATAAAAGCTAAATGATCAAGTCTTACTAGACCTACATGTCTTAATATCCTCTCCAACATTCCACCTATAATGGAAAACAATAAAAAGATAAAATAAGAAAAATAAATTAAACAAGATAAATCATAATTAATGTTAATCTTCAAATACATGTTGGTTCCACGAGGCTGCCGTATGGTGGAAATCCAAATGCCAATACAAGTTGGAATGCAATAGATGCCAACAAATTAATTGAGGGAAGCGCAACAACAGCTTTTTGGAAATGGCCAGAAATTCCTATAACAATATACAAAAACACATTGTAAATAAAAACTTATTGCCATTTAAAAAGAAAATAATTAAATAAAAAATTTACCAGCCATCGACTTGGATGTAGGAACTGGAATAAAAGGTATCCATAATAGAACGAAAAGGTATAAACCAGAAAGGGCATTTTGTCGAAGCGTAACACCTGAAAAATAAAAAAATGTGTAAGTTATACATAAGTTTATTTTCTTGTCAAATATTGTTTATCAAAAATAATAAAAGATGTGAATAAATAACTTAAAAATATATCAATAAATAAAAACATAAATATAACAAGACATTATAGAATTATAAAAGTTATTACAATTCCTTAAGCAGTAATACGATTGAGGAACATTTTATCAAAAGTCAATACATCCTCTTTTAGAAAAGTACTGTGGGGCTTCTCACATGTATTCTTGATGTCTCGCATGTGAGGGTTAAAATGATAGTGAAATAAGTTAGTTTTGCTATCTGTTAAGAAAACAAATGTTTTGTAAAATTAGTTTAATGGGAAATATACATAAACAATTTGATTTCTTGATGAAAAGCAGGAAATTAATTTTAAGTAGTGAAAGTAGACATGAAGAGCTACATAAAAGTTCATATAAATCAGGGTACAATTTTACAATGATGAAATTAAAGTTTTGAGTTTTTTTAAATAAACTACATGTTTTGTAGAAAAGAAAGCGATAACTAAAAAATATTTAATCTAGATAATTTACAATAGCTCCATAGTAAACTAGAACAAATTTTTTAACAAATTCAGGTAGATTTTGTGCTTGTTAAAAAGATTCAACAATGAAAAGTAAGCTTGCAGATTCCACATGGTAACCTCAAAAAGGGTAAAATACTGTTAGATGGATGGTGGGTTAGAATCAGGAATTAATGGATTTATAATACATATATTGTCTACCATTACAAAATATAAATGGGAGTACTTAGAGGTAATGATTTTTAAGGCTCTAGAACAAAATAATAAGAAAATACAGACTATCAGTTGAAACATGAACAACAGATGTCATCAATTAACAATTTTGTTTATAAAATCATTCTATCATTTTATGTATATTTTTCATAAATCTTTAAGTTATAATGTTTAACACATGCTGCGGCTACGGTCCCCGGCGAATATCAGACATAATAATTATTTACCTTTGTATCTATCTTAACATCCATCCGACTCATATTCAAATAATTTTAAAAATTGCCATTTTAGAGACTGAATTCGAAACGATCCCTGCCGAAATCGAGACGAATATCGGAACCCGGGGACTTTAACCACAACTAAACTGTTAAGTTAACACATTTCAAAAGCTCGGGGTCAGTACGAGAATCCTACGCTATTTGGTACAGTACGCGGCCGCTTAATCCGCATCTGGTTGGGTCATGTAAAAATAATAACGGAGAATGGAATTCACAAGATGATCATGGAGAAGCATCCCTGAGGAAATAGGAAAAAGTGAAGGACAAGATAGAGCTGAAAGGAAGATATGAAAGCGGAACTGAGGATGTTTCGGGTAAAGATGTGGAGAAGAATTGTAGAGGAATATTTTATTCAAGTAAACCCGCCTGTAGTTATACTTTCAATTCATTCCACATGAAGAATATAGAAAATTTCATAAAACAAGTTAAGGGAAGGATGGGTAACATGAAGAATGGGAAAATATGACGAATTCAATATTTCTTACTATTAATCACAGACAGCTTTGCGTCCCTGTCAGCATATGATTTGTGTAATGGTGGATAATGTAACTCACTAATATAAACAAACGTGTGTCCATATCGAGTGAAGTCATGACCAAAAGTTTAGATACAGAACACTGAAGTAATTTTCGAATCTCAAAATGCAAGGAATAAGTATTCTAAGGAACATTTTTCAACTTTCTCACTAAACTATTCTAAATGTACAACTCCATACCACAAAATCATAAGAAACCCATTTATTTTACAATAGTTATGGTTACTGATAAATGTTGATGTGGAAAAGAGACTTATACTGCATGTAACAGACTTTAAATAAAACTAACTCAGTAGAATAGACACCATACTGTTGAAATATTGAAAATCACGTTTACCTTCATTACCAATATCTAGCTATCGGGAGATTAACGATTTTGTTCACAGCAACTGACCTACATTAAATTAGTTGATACTGAATATACGCGAAATTTGATGCTCCACAACTTTGATTCTATGGATTTTTCCTCTTAGGGAACTCATTTCCAAGTTACAGGGCCATTTATAGTAATTTGTCTCAGTTTTTGACAAATTTGGTAAAACTCAACGTTGGTTGACTGTGGTTTTATACCTTACCGCGAAACCAAATTTTAAAGTTTATGTACTCGTTTGACGCAAAATTTAATGTTCTTTAATTTATTAAAGAACACATTTTTCGCTTTGATGCATTGTTTAAGAGTTATAGATGAAAAACCCCAAAAAAATCGAAAAAATCTGACTTTTTTGGCTGTAAAAAGTTTTCCCTTGGTGGCCTGCGTTAGCAATTTTGTTTTTTACATGTCCGAACCCACATATACAAGTTAAAAAAATAGAAACTTTTCTCACATTTTTCGCAATGGATTTCCCGTTTCGATCCTCAAATTATTGGCCTAATATTCTTTAAATCAGCCGCCATTTTCGAAAGCAGCGGCTCCGGAACGGCAGACAAGGTTTTTTTTACTCAGAATAACATAAAACTTTCGTAATTTACAATCAAACCTTCGCCTGCGATCAGGTCGATTTTTGGGCCTGGCTCCAGGGCTATGGGGCTTGATAAATACATGCCAGTCACAAGCTCAATAAATGCGACTTCTACATTTAAATAAATTTTACTTTTTATATAATTTAAGAACAGTTTACGGTCCCTTCTACAATTTTGTATTTCTTGTTTAAGTGACATGTTAATAAAGTTTAATAGAAGTTCTTTTTGTCTCTTTCCTCTGGTCTTTTAGTCATCTTAGCCCGAAGCCGTAGTAAAATGACGAAAATGAAAATGTTTGGGAAAATTCATCCATATCATTTCCCTTTGAAAACGAGAGAAGCAATTTAAAAAAACTCATGGTATTAGGTAAGATATTGAAGAAGTTCTCATAAAAATTTAAGTTCTCAAATCCAGAGTGGCCAAGAAAATTTGCAAAAGCTCAAACTCGCCCTCTTACCCCAACATTCTATAATTTTAACCGTCTAACTAATTGTGACTTGACTTGATTAGAAATTATTGGGTTTTTCCGGAAACATTATGGAGGATTTTGAGTTTTCCTTAAAATACTGCTCTATATAACAAACTGTTTACGTTTACTGGATTATTCATTTGTAGGCCAGTCAATGAATGATTATAGAAGCAAATGGAGGCGACACAATTTTTGACTTTGGGACATTTTTGGATAAGCAAGGAGGTAAACATACTAAAAGTTCCACTTTTTTCGAGTTTTAGCTTATACCAGGAAAACTATCCATCGTATCGACAAAGACGTTCTATACACAATTAAAACAAATAAAATTTGCAATACGACTAATTATATACTTTTTTCACTATCTCGTTAACACTATACATAAACGTTATTGTATGTATGTATATGTATATGTATACATAGAAATTTAGAAGCATACAGAGTTAGAGCAATATAATAATAACGAATATTATAAAAATGATTTTTTCCTGCGAATTCTCGGAATCTATATATAAAGTTATAACTGGTGTTATTTTCGAACCATTGAAGATAAGCTAGTAAAATAATATATATTCTTGAAGACAATTTAAATATTAAAAGCTTTCTTTCCCACGACTTATTCGTAGAACGAAGCAATCAACAGTTAGCTGGTTAGATACAGTAAAAAAAACACGAGGAAACAATTTATTTTTTTTCGCATTAGAGATAGCTGAGGACGGATATCTCGGAAACTAGGCGAAATAACGAAAAAAGGTATATAATCAGCCATACAACAAATTTTGACAGCTTTAATTTTGTATAGAACGTCTTTGTCGATGTAATGGATAGTTTTCGTTATATAAGCGAAAACTAAAAAAAAAAACAGCAATAAACACGTGGCAAAAGTCTTTTTTTTTTTTTTCAAAATTAGCCATGTTGGTCAAAGAAGGTCGTGAAAGGACTACCTCTATTGATGACAATGTTCTATGGGCTTTGGTGGAAGAAAATTTCATAACAACTGTTCGAGAACTTACAGAACAACTTAACTTTAGCAAATCGACCGTTGATGACCACCTCAAGGCGTTTGGAAAGTAAAAAGAGCTTGAAAGTTGGATTCCACACACACACTAAACGACCGCAAAAAAAAAAAAAATGTGCTACACTTCTTTGCCGAAACAAGAACGACTCTTTTCTGTCCAGAATGGTTACTTGCTATGAAAAGTGGATACTTTACAATAACAATAGAATTTCCGGACAGTGGATCGACAAAGGAGAAACAGCAGACCATTTTCCAAACCCCAAAACTCATAAAAAAAAAAAGTGATTGTTATTGTTTGGTGGGCTTCATTTGGTTTAATACACCACAGCTTCTTAAATCCTGGAGAAATCATCAATGCCGAATCGTATTGTAACCAAATTAATGCAATGCATCTGGAATTGGCAATAACGAAGCCATCTTTGGTCAATCGGAAGGGGTCCGTTTTGTTGCATGACAACGGGGATCCGGCCACATGTCTCACGTGTGAAGTGACAACAACTATTGGAGCTTGGATATGAAACATCCGCCCTACTCTCCGGACCTCTCGCCTAAGGATCACCATTTTTTTAGACACCTGGACCATTACTAACGTTTCCAAAAATTTAATGGACAAAGGGAATTAGAAAACATGTTTTTGGAGTTTATCATTGCTAAAGATGGGAGATTCTATTCCGAGGAAACGGAGAAAAGTCGCCAACAAGTTGGCAGAAATGTATTGATAGTAGTGGAAGCTATTTCGATTAAATAAAACAGTTGTAAATCCAGCAATAATTTCCGGACCACCCAATTATTTATCATTACTTAAATAATAAGTTCTTTACAATAAATATGATATGATTCATTTTCCAACACTGAGATCCCTGCTAATGGAAGCCTCAGTCTACACTATGGAGTAAACCACGGGCTAAAAGGTAAACAGGAGCGATAAAGGTTAGAATCAGCTGTCTGTAAAGGTTAGAGCGGCACGTGGCTCAACTG